ATAGTGATCGGTAGGGGGTTTATTTTCGACGTGCAGGGCGGGTGGTGCTTGGTTTTTCTTTTAGCTCCATTGAGAGTGACGTGACACGCGTCGCCAAAGACGTAGAAGGGTCATTTCGCGCGTCGGGGAAGAGCGAAATGACACGCCACTTATAGCCTGGCCGGTCGCGCGTGTCACCCTTGGCGAGGCAGTTTCCCGCGAAGTGGGACGCTGCGTCGCGGGCGGTCTACCGCGATCAGATCACTTCAAATCTGCGCACTCGAAGCCGCACGACCATCTCTACATCTGCGCGCACTTGTGCTGAAGCCCGCCGCGCGCACTGTTCACGCCAGGCCGTGGGAGTCGCCGTCCTTCTGCCGTGCAACCGGACGTCGCCCGTCAGTTTTCTGGCCGCGGAGCGCCGTCGTCGACGATCTTCTCTCTCCTGTCATCTCCAACCTATTCCCCGTCGAGCGCTCTCGCCGCCGTCGTCGTCCTTCTATCTGCCACGCGCAAGTCGACCTCTTCTTCCTTCGGTTGGCAAATCTTCTGCGTCGTGCGACTTTCCTTCTTCGTCACGGCAGTCCGCGGCGGGAGTCATTGTCGTTGTTAGATCTGCCAACTGGCAGGCTTTTAACGGCGGGCGAGTGGACACGTGGCGGTCTTCACATCGGGTCGCGTGGCTCGCCTACAGGGGTCGCAAGGGAACATGTCTGCGCGAGGGGCGGGCCGTGGGAAAAAGCGCGAAGGACTGCCTGACGACAATCAAGTGACTGGAAAAAGGTTCGGGAGAGTGGAGGGCAACGACAATCTGATCGCAGCGCTTCGCAAAGGCTGATGACCCCTCTACCCGAGACGAAGCAAGTGCGCGCCCGCGACAGGCGGACTGACGACACTCATGTCGACGATCTTGGTGACGACGATGACGAGCCCTTGGAAAGACGCCTCCTGCGCAGTCACACAGCAGCCACCCCGCCGCTGGCGGCTTCGGGCCACGCTCTCGCCGGAGAAAAGGCAGTGACGGGTAGGCTGCCCACCACCACAGCTGCGCCACGTCCTCACAACACGGCTGCTGAAGGAGGGTCCATCCAACGAGGCGGCGGTGGGGTAGTCGCGGCGCACGCGCGCTCCCAAGCACGCACACACAGACAGACTTAGAAAACACAGCAGAATGCGGGAATCTCAGCAAAGCATCCATTCCATCGGCATAACTTCAGAAATCAGCAGTGTTCTCAGTCTGTGTTTTGACGGGTCATTACAGAACCCAAGCCAACACTCTTAATGTATCGGAACATTCGGAAGCAAGCTATGCTAAGGGTTATGGGTTGCACACTATTTTACCTCCGGGCCACTTTCCTCCCCGGTCTATCCCAGCCTACCTATCCCCTCAGGGTTGAGCCTTCCCGGTTGAGCCTTCCCGGTTGAGCCTTCCTGTTGATCCTTCCCGGTTGAGCCGATCCCCTCAGGGTTGAATCTAAACCCCTAGCGGTGGAGAAAAGACCTACCCCCCTTTGTGTTTCTTTATTGACTTGGTTTTCGAGTTATGGGTCTCAAGGCTGTGCATGTGTTTGAGATTCTGTGGTGAGGCGTCCTAGTACGTCCTTTCTTGTTTCTTTCCTATTAGCTCCGTTTTGCATTATGCGCCGCATGGCAATGCATGTTTTTGAAGTTCTGTGAAACCACTGTGGCTTCCTATCTCTGCAGAAAAGTATTCGGCGGATGCAACCAGGTTTGCTTTAGCCGATGCTGGAGATACCATGGACGATGCCAACTTTGTTGGGGAAACCGCCAATGCAGCGATTTTGCGACTAACAAAGTGAGTGAGCCGATGTTACACTGCACCTTTATCCGTCTTATCTTTTTTTCTTTTTTCTTTTTCTCGGTCGACCAACGACTCCTGTGTTTTGCGTTTTGGCTCTTTGAGTCTTCTGACTCGTACAAGATAGAAAGCACGCACCCCTTTTCTATGCACTCTGCACTATTCAAGCAAACCTGCGTCGTACTGGATATGTGACATAGACTCTAATGAGCACAGGGATTATGTATTGGTGTTACAAAGGCATGGAGAATGCTCTTTTTTTGTGTCTTGTTTCTGTTTCAAAGGCATAGTGAATGTGAAATTGTTGGAATGCTGCCTTCTGCACTGTGAGTATCTGATCTTTCTTCAGGCCGATGTCTCTGAAGATCGGTGTTGCGTAAGAACATTTGGGATGTTTGGGGATATGCGAAGTGTATGTTCTGGATGTGCTCACGCAGTTCCATGACCAGCTGGTATTGTACTCGTCCTCGTCGCTCAAATCCCAAAGAGATTGAAGGCGTCCAACGGATGAAGGAATCTTGATTTTTTCCCATACTCGTTTGGTTCTGTGATATTATCTCTCTATTTTTGGACCCCTATGTTTTTGGTTTGTTACGAAGCGCTCAGTGTTCACGGAACCAGAAGGGTCTACAGGTGATCTAAAAATAGAGAGAGCAGCAGCTCCTTTCCACATGCTGCTACAGGGGATCTCTGCAGTCTAAAGTGAAAGGCTCAGTGTTCCTTTTTTTTCTGTATTTTTTCAGTGCTGTGTTGATAGATCAGAATTGAGATGAAGCAGCTGTTCGCCCTTTTCTGGATGCTTGAAAGTGTTCTTTCTTTTTTTCCCTATTACTAGGCTATTAGTATTTGTACCATTTCTCGATTTATGTGTGCCATCCTTGCACAGGGGCCATGTGAATATTCTTTCTCTGTATCATTCCAATTTTAACCGATGTCCTGGAGGAGGGATGTCAGAAATTCTAGCTATACCCTCCATCTTTTTCACTCAAAATGCAGCAGAGTTGTTCCACTCTCTCTCTCTCTCTCTCTCTCTCTCTCTCTCTCTCTCTCTCTCTCTCTCTCTCCC